CTAAAATATACAACTGAAAACTCACTCCAGTTTATTACACTTCTAATTAGCATGAGTTATAAAATAATAATATTGACACCTTTGTGCAGGACTGTCTCTGAAGCACGCTCATTTGATGAGACAACAGTTCAGCCTCCGACGAAGAGCTTACATAGCAATTATGGATCCAATCCCTCATCTAGAAACCCAAATGATGTAAGTGATTATTTATCCTGATACTTTAAAATACATAAAACAGTGATCATGCAACAACGTGCTGGAAGTCACATCCATATCACTAAACCTATGGAATTAAATTTTTTTGGCAACAGATTCACGACTTTCTCACAATGTCTGAGGAACTAGGTCATGAAGTGATCTTGTCGCAAATACAGACTTCCTACCACCGTGACTCAGTTTCAAACATCATCTTTTTATGTAGGCTTTGTAATACACTAGAATAGGTTTTTTTAACCTCATCTCCCCTAATTAAATGTCCAACTTCTTACACAGACTTTGGCTGACTCTCCTTTCCCTGTACATTCTATGTAACAAACCTGGAAAGGTGGTCTTTTTGGAGTTTTCCACTGAGGCCATGGTTCAGAACCATGGTCTGACAGTGACCTTTCTTCCAACCTGTGCAACAAAGGGTCCCCACTGCATGGTCATGCTCCCCCCCCCCCCCCCCCCCCCATGTGAACACCTGATTACATGGTTTCACACTGTCCATGAGTCAGGATCAGAAGCAGGGAATTTTGAAATCATGTGCATCTCTGTTCATAAATATGCAGGTGGGAGCCATATATGCATGACTGACTAAAATACAAGTACCTATATAAATAATTACATAAAGAGAGATCAGAGTTCATAAGATTTTAAGGTTATGTGAATGTCCATGACCTGAATTTATCAGGACTTGAATGGATTTAAGGTTCACTTTGAAGAAATTTCTTTAAAAAAAAGCTGTCCTGGCATATGACATGTAGGTGATTGGGGAGAGGTGGTGTAGCTCTTACTCATTCTTAACCTCAGCACTAGATAGAGGTGAGTGGCCAGCATCACATCCCAGGAGCAATTTACCTCTGGGAAAGGACCCCAGTAACCACTGGAGAGAGGCTTGATGGGCCATACAGCTGGTCTGGACACAGAGACTAAAGGAAAAATCCTTTGCCCCTGTTGCGGATTGAAGCCCGTCATCCAGTCTGTAGTCGGTTGCTATACTGACAGCTACCCTGGCTCCTGAAGTGGTTTCTTGAAAGGCTTAGAAATCAGCACCTTTACCCTTTATCATCTGTGTGACAAAGCTGGCCATGTTTCACAATAGTACACTGCTTCCATCAAACCTCTGGCTGGCAGCCGTGTAGTATAGTAATTTAAATTTCCTATTCCAGTACAATAAAGATTAATTGAATTTTGTGGTAAACTGCATGTTTGATATCTGTACAAGAGCAATACCATGCTTTCATTTTTAGGAGGCACACACTATGGCAGAGCGAGATCTTGGATCCACGCTACTTATGCCACAGACACACCTTTATAAACCCGACAGGGTATGTACATTCTGTTCATAAC